TCCAAAGGAAAGAGTTATGCATTTTATAAAAATAGAAATCAACTGCATAATTAAAATTAATTACGTCAAATAGGTACTTAGAGATTGATTAAGTTTTGACTAAAAGTGCTAAAAGGAGTTTCATAATACTCATCACGATATGAACTTTAGGAAAAATTTTCCGAAAACGGGATCCGTATGAGAGAGATATGACTTTTGTAAAATCATTTATTTTTACCCCCGTTAGGCACGAAAATGAAAGTCAAAACTAGATAAAACAACCTAAAGGAGAGTTGTAGTACCCATTGAGATCATCACATAGATATAAAGAAGGCTTAGATAGGTGCTCGCACGAAGAAGTTATGATTTTTACAAAATATATTCTTGCACGCGAGGGGCACGTCTCTACACGTCGTGCACCTGACATCGAATTCGAGCAGATAGCGAGTGACATGGCTAATTTGGGAAGTAACACGTGACATTCTCTGGATGGAGCCACGATGATCATCCGCGACACACACATATATATACGCTGCGTGCACCTCAAATCCATGACTATAAATTGCAGGCTTTGCAGAACACTTCTGCACACCTTCAACTCTCCTTCTCTCTACATATTCAAAAGTTTCTTCCCTTGGAGCGATCCCCAGAGTCCCAAGCCCGATTCAATCCTACATCAAAGGTTTCAAGCGATTAGGGTGAGTTTATGACCCTTATTTAACTATTTTAAATGTTTTATGGGGGGAGGGGGGTACATGCTTATTAAATGGTTTTATCAAAATATATTTATATCTATAAATGTCAAATCATTTTATAAAGATTAAAGCCATATGATAATATAACTATAGATACTATGCCTAGTTGTAAGCTATAATATTATGCCTAAGAGATATGATGCTCGATAGTTTAGGAAGAGATAATACATAAATGTGTTAATGGCCAAATCCCTAAGATAACGTAGTCCCTAGAAGTTATGCTGGTCAAATGTAGGGATATGCACCGTACCTAATTGTTACTCTGCCCAAATCTCCAGTTTTCAAATAACCATAAGTAGGGTATACATATGAAAACTTATATATACAAAATAGTTATGAGATCCAAATTTATAATTATCAAATATAGGATAAAAGATTTATATTGTGATAGTTATAGGAAATCCGTAGGAAGGATAAAAGATAAAAGATAAAAGATAAATACCTGAGGTTAATACGTTAGTGAGCTGATAATATTCATACAAAGGACTTGATTAAATTCGGCATTCCGCGGTACCTATAATCGTTAATCTTGCGAGAGCTAGAAATATATGTATAGATCGATACGGGGATTGACACCCCACCTGAGATTGTTAGATACAATCCCAACAGGATAATTTTCTTATTATTCACTGTTCGATGATCGATAAGCTCATGGTAATACATTACAAAAGCCTTAGAGATCCGGCTACAATTAGGGATGCCTTAGGATGGTAGATAAAATACGTTAGGGTTGTTAGTTATCCTACAAAGATAGTTAATTAGGATTAATAAGATATCCTAAAAAGATAATAAGATAGAATCGTTAGATATCCTTAAAATATAATAAGCTAGGGTTGATAAAATACTTTAGCAAATGTTTTTCTAAAACAAAAAGGACTCTTAAATTTATACAACAAAATAAAAGCCGAAAACTATAAAAACATGTACACTCACCAACATTATGTTGACGTTTTCAAAAATACATGTATTTTCAGGGAGATAAGTGTGGATGATTGTTGTGCCAAGGAAGAATGTCTTCAAGGAAGCTTGCTAGAGTTTAGTTCTGTATGTTTATCATTTTTAGTGACGTTAGTTTGTGTGCTTGACTTTCAAACGATGTAATCCCAGAATAATTTATAATAAATAAAAGTAATGTTTGTGATATACATTTGTGTATTGTTCTTTATATATCTGTATGCCTCAGTCCAATCTTCCCTCGTTTGCACCAACCTTCGTTTCCGCTGCCGGCCGGGGGTGTGACATATTGGAATTCGTTCTTTGTCAGGTCGCAAATTGATCGCTAAAAATGATGTTGCCACTTATCTAAAACATTGTGACAACCCAGAGTATTTAACTTTTTGTCCCAATGTTACAATGTTAATTCCGTAGATGATCTCATGCATGTTACCACATGAACCCTATATTACAAATGTTAAAAAGTGTTTTGAGTATAGAGACATTAATCATTATAACTTACTTATTATATTCTCTTGAATCGGTATGAATTAATGATAGATTTATTAAAAATAAAATGATCATAATATTAAAAGGCCCACGTTTATGGATCATTTTAAGATGCATAGTTACCTTCTCTACAACTAACTTAAAATACAAAACAAACAAAATTAAAAATAGACAAATTTTCACAAAGGGTCCTTTAGATTTACTGTTTTTCCTTGAAGTTGTACTTATGAAACTTTTTTTTCCCTTAGATGATCTCTGAAAAGTAAATTTTACACACAAATAGTTATTACCGTGGATGTCCGTTATATGGATCCGTTAATTTGAAAGAATTTTAGATAAGAACTATTTCTGCTATTTTGTGAAACTTGTTTAAGGATCATTTGTAAAATTTTACACAATGACTATTTGAAATATTACAATGTTAGTCTCTAGCTTTTTTTTCTTTTTACATTTTCGGCCCTCTTTTACTTCTTTTTTGTAATTCAAATTTCTTTTAGAAAATTTCCTTAATTTTTTCACAACTTTGTTATTATTATTATTATTATTATATATATATATATATATATATATATATATATATATAAAGTTGGGATTTTAGAAATTAGTTTTTACAACATTGTTATACATGAAACCGTTTTATGAAATATATTTATTTTTACATGAAATGTAATATTTATATAAATAAAAAAGTAAAGCTTATAAGTTTTAATCATCACACAAATAGATTCTATTTAATATATAAATAATTTTTGTTATCTAAACTTTACCTAAAATATTCAAACTTCATTTAATTACTTTTTAACTTTTACATGACGTAATTTTTAAGATTTATCTATATTTATCTTATACAAAAATATTTATTTTTGTAAAAAAAAAATATGATGTGTTATTATAAAAAAATACGTTATTATAGAAATAATAGTATGGTGCTCTTTTATTTTAAAAATATAATCATATAATTTTGAGTTAAAGATAAAAATATATTACGATTTTGCATTCATAATATAAGTATGGTAAATTTTATATTGGCTCAATATAAACTTTTGATATTTAATTTTAAAATTTTATTTAGTTTTATCAAATTTTAAATATACTCCTCAATAAAGACATCAACATTTCAAAGCAAAATTAAAAAAATGTATGTTAGCTAATAGTTAACTATGATACTATACATGTTAAAATAATTAATCATATGAATAATATGACATTAAATTCCATTAATTCATTTTATTTAATGGAAAATAAATTTTAAGCGAAATTAATGTCTTTTATTTCCTTTTCATTTGGTTTCATATGACATTAATTTTGTTTAACTCATTTTATAGAAATATATAAAATATTTTTATTTTTTGTCAAATAAAATGAGTTAAACAAAACTAATGTCATATTATTCATATGGTTAATTTTCTTAGCATGTGTAGCAGCGTAGTTAATTATTAGCTAACATTTTTTTTTTGCATTGAAAAATTTATGTCTTATTAAGAAATATATTCAAAATTTGATAAAACTAAATAATTTTTTAAAATTAAATATCAAAGTTTTATATCGAAGCAATATAAAATTTATTGTACTTATATTATTAAATCAAAACCGAAACATATTTTTATCTTTAACTCAAAACTGCATACTTACATTTTTAAAATAAAATAGCAACATATTATTATTTCTATAATAACATATTTTTTTTTTATGATAACACATCATATTTTTCATAAAAATAAGTATATTTGTATAAGATAAATGAGAATAAATCTTAAAAATTACATCATGTAAAAATTAAAAAGTAATAAAATGATGTCTCATCATGTAAAAATTAAAAAGTAATAAAATGATGTCTTTATATTTCAATTTCTTTTAGATAAAAAATAATAAACGAAAATATTTAATTATGTATTGTAGTTTGAATATTTTAGATAAAGTGTAGAAAACAAAAAATATTGATAATATTTAAAAAATATATAATAACAAAGTTATGAAAAAATTAAGGAAAATTTTTCAAAGAAAATTGAATTAAAAAAGTAAACAATAGGACCGAAAATATAAAAGGAAAAAAAATGAGTGATTAACATTGCAATATTTCAAATGGTCTTTGTGTAAAATTTCATAAATGATTTTTTAATAAGTTTAACAAAATGACAGAAGTAGTTGTTATCCAAAAAAAACATTTCAGTTTAATGGATCTTATGGACATCCACGGTAAGCACCATTTGTGCTTAAGATTTGCTCCTTAGGAACCATTTCAAGAAAAAAAGTTTCATATAAACTATTTCATAGAAAAACGTTAAACCTAAAAGATCATTTTGTTAAATTTTGTCTTAGAAATATTCAATTATATTCGGTTGGTGTAAACATTACATTCGTGTATGTTGTAAAACAGCTAATATTTTGAATTTATTTAGGTACATCACCTTTTTTTTATCTTCATCTTGATTTTTTGAGAAGGCATATTGTTTGTGAACGTAAACAATCTGTCCTATATTTTATCTAAAACTTGTTCTAATGACTATAAATAAAGATATTATTGAATGTAGCTCGTGAACTCGTAATATTTTGATTAGCGGATTTCCAATTGAGAATGAACATAAAACAAGTTTGGAAAATAAATGAATATACGGAGAGTAAAGAGGAACGTATAACAAAGATAAAAAGAATATATTAAAATATTATATTTTGATACAAAAGATAATGTAATAGTACATAAAATTGAACTATTATTTATATATTTCATTACAAACAAAAAAGTATAAATATAATAAGAATACATCGAAGGGCCAAAGTTATGTTTTCCTTCAAGACAAATGGTATAATATTATTAGTGACATCATGTGGCAACGTTTTCATTCGAAGGGACAGATTAGTAATAATATCTGTTACAGTCGCCCACACAAATTTTATATACTGTTTGTGTTTTTATATTATATATACATATACATATAATAGAATATTTATCTTCTTCGTGTATCATAGTGTATATAAAACTACTATTTTCAAAAGGAGCTGTGGTCTTCGAATTCGATTCTTCTCTTCAATCAAGAAACGGAAGTTAGGGTTTTGTTCATTTAATTCATCTCAGTTTGCTACTTCTTTGGATTGGTTTGAGTTGACAGTTCTTCATTTACTCGATACAGGTTGGTTCAGTTTCATCAAAGTCTGTTTTTAGTATTTAAATTTTTTCCAATTTGAGGTTTCAGGACATTTTGCATCGATTCGTGTTGTTCATAAATGGATTGATTTTGTTTTACTACTTATAGTGATATTAGTGTAAGGATTTCTTCTTGCTGTCAGTATATTCTCTGCTTCGTATTGAATTTCAATGAGGAGTTGTTGGAATATCGATTGACTTTATCAAAAGTTGGAGTTTTAATTGCGGAAGTTGAATTCGGAGATTAGTATACGATGATGTTCGTTATGAGTAGATTAGGAAATTTGGATCTATTATGTGTTGCAATTTAAGGTAAGTCACTGGATTCGAGTTATCTGATTTACGCGAAGTTTGAATAAATCAGGAAAAGATGATAAAATATCTGAATTTCTGTTTATATGCACATCTCCTTTTTGGTTTTCTCGCCTTCAATCCTTCTTTTTCTTAAGCTTGTGTATTGGCGATTCTCTCTATGTTCCAACTTAGTTTGCCTTTATAAAAGCCATCCAAAAGTGTCAAGGTTGCAAACTCTGAACTTTCCATAAGTGCAAAGTAATAACGAACATTTATGATTGTTTTAACTTTCAGGCTCATAGTTTTGCTTTAATCGTGAAGATGTTATGCTGAAGTTTAAACTTATTGAGTTGCATATTCACTGGACTAACAAAGCACCATGAATTCCTCATCCACTCAGTTTCTCAACTCAAAGAGGATGGATGTATATGAACCTATGCATCAGTTTAGCATGTGGGGAGATTTCAAAGGCAACATCTATCAGGATGCATCTGCAGCCATGATTATAGAGATGGATGCAAAGCTAGACAACCAGGTAATTAACCATTTAAAATGTTCCTCTTTCTTGTTATCCTCATGACTTTTCATTGCTTTTCTCAAGAAAAAAAACTATGTCTAATTTGTGTTTTTAGTCAGAGGATGCTTCACACACAACAATTGGAGCTTCACATCACTTTGATCAAGAAGCAAGTAAACCAGGTGATAAGGTACAAGATATTACATCTTCTTTGTTGACCAATATTTGAAGTCATGTTATTCTACTTTTAGTTACCATTTTATATATTTTTTAGTTACAATTAATAACTAAAGTTTAATCTATAGGTTCAAAGACGACTTGCACAAAATCGTGAAGCAGCTCGTAAAAGTCGTTTGAGGAAAAAGGTAGGGGAATATGAAAGATAAATCACTTTCCTTTTCAATTTACAATTCTCAAAACTGCCTTTTGTTTTAGGTTATGAAGTTTAAACTTTAATCTTTAAAGTATTTCATTATAACAACTTACTATGAACCTTGCATTTTGTTATAAGGCCTATGTTCAGCAGTTAGAAGCTAGTCGTTTGAAACTGCTTCATCTTGAACAAGAACTTGAACAAACTAAGGCACAGGTAAGTCAACATTGACTTTTTTCTTCTGTGCTTTATTTTAATATACTTATCTTTCCATAAATTCTTTTAATCAATCATGTTTAGTTATCAAAGAATAATTTCTGCAGGCTGCTTTATTGAGTGGTGGAGTCAATGCTAGTCGTCTTGGGATCCCTGGAACTACAAACTCAGGTCTATTTTCTTAAATATCATTATTCAACACTTATGATAATAAAAAAAGATTGTAGCATATTGATCTTTTTATCTTCTTGTGTGTCCCATATTTACAAGCCTAACTTGTTTAGAGAAAGGTTATATAAATGACTTGTGTAACAAACAAAAGTTTTATATATTTTAAAACTGTAAAACGCGAGTTTTGATAATTGTAATGATGGCTTGATGATATCCTTCTGGGATACATAATCTTTGATTTAATTATGTGTTGCTAGAATTTATCACTTCAATAGTTCTCTGTCACTATTAAAAAAAGGGTTAAATGTAAGAAATATGAAAGTACTTTTATTTGTTTTTTATTATAGGATCCTGCTTTTATTCCTGTCCTATTACAACTTTGTACTTTGAATTTTTTTTCCCATTAATAGCATTGTTGTACAAACACAAAGTAATTGTCATTGCTATAGCTGAATAGCTTTTTCAAAGTACAATTTCCTATTAAGAAAATGATTTGAAAGTACAAAACTATAATTGGGTATATTTTTGATAGTACAAATGCTTTAATATGACAAAAATATAAAACTATAAAAAAAATGAAAGTAGGATTCTATAATAACAAAATAAATAAAAGTACATTGCAATTTCATGCATTTAGCCCTTAAAAATGCGACTTTTAGTGTTTTTTATGTAGTTTTAGAAAACTGGTTAATTGCTATCTAGAAAATAGAAGCCTAATACTTCTATTTAAAAGAAAGTTGAATCAAGGGATAACTTTTCATAGATTTGATAATTACCCTTCTAGAATAGAACATTCCCACTTTTTGTAAAGATATGTGCTTTTTTAACACACATCAATTGGGTCCTATTTTTATTCTTTTTAATTTCTGAATGAGTTTTAGCTTCAATTACTATATAATACTTCTTCTATCAAATTCTTGTGAACTAAAAGCATCTTTTGTGACACGTGTAGGAATTGCTGCATTTGAGATGGAGTATGAGCAGTGGGTTGAAGAACAAAATAAAAAAACTAATGCTTTAAAGACTGGATTACATGCACCATTGCCTGAAACAGAGCTTGATATACTTGTTAAAGACACTTTGAACCACTATGCCAATTTATTTAACATTAAAGCAGCTGCAGCAAAAACTGATGTGTGTTATCTCATATCTGGCATGTGGAAAACGTCAACTGAACGCCTTTTCTTGTGGATTGGTGGCTTTCGCCCTTCAGAGCTTCTCAAGGCAATTAATGTCTTTTTCCTTTAGATTCATATTTGACTAAGAAATTGACTTCAAGACTTCCTTTTTATTAGGCCCCGTTTGTCACACAGACATGTTGTACTTACTGTGTTTGACATGCATTGGACTGTGACTATGACTGATATCAATGAGACAAAAACTGCAACTTTTTGTCCTACCCAAAAAGGTGGGATAAGGAAACACTGTCATCTCTTGTTTTGTGAAAAAGACGTAAATACCCTTCTCACCTCCATTAAGAAAGATACTGTGTTTAGCATGCATTGGACATTACTGATATTGATGGGACAAAAAACTGCATCTTTTGTTAGACCCAAAAAGGTGGGACAAGAAAACACTGTCATCTCTTGTCTATGAAAAAGACGTGAATACCCTTCTCATCCTCATAAAAAAATAACTCTATAAAGCTTGTCTTGTCCAATCCAGTCATGTCCCTTGATGTCATGTCCTGTGTAACAGATGCAGCCTTAAGGCTGCATTTGTTACATGGGACTGAACATCACTGGATTGGACTAGACGAGACAGGACTGCGCAAGCTTTATTCAAATATTTTTTTTAATGAGGATGAGAAGGGTATTTACGTCTTTTTCACATACAAGAGTGGACAGTGTTTCCTTGTCCCACCTTTTTGGGTGGGACAAAAAGTTGCAATTTTTTGTCCCATCAATATCAGTCAAGTCCTATGCATGCCAAACACAATATTTTTTTTAAATGGGGATGAGAAGGGTATTTACGTCTTTTTCACAAAACAAGAGATGACAGTGTTTCCTTGTCCCACCATTTTGGGTGGGACAAAAAGTTGCAGTTTTTGTCCCATCGATATCAGTCATTGTCAGAGTCGAATACATGTCAAACACAGTACAACAATGTTGAGTTGAGTGGAATAACTTTTTTATGGTTGAGAATTGAGAATTTAATCTTTTTGGTAGTAAAGTAGAGGATTGTATTAGATATTCGTGAGCCCTAAATGATTTCAATTTTATTATGAGTGGGGCGGTTTTGATTAGTGCTTATTCCATCAAAGCAATAAAGTTCTTTTTCCACTTCCATTGTGTTAACCAACTGTTGCACCACAGTTATCAACTTACCAGTACCTATCATCATATGAGTGCTTCTCTATTAGATATAATAATATCTTTGTTTCTATTTGTAATTCACAATTCCTGGAATTGAATCTGCTTAATATTAAAAGACAAAAATACCCTGATTGTGTGTAGGTACTTGTACCACAGCTTGAGCTGTTAGACCAACAGTCTCATGATCTGTCTAACCTAATTCAAGCATGCCAGCAAGCTGAAGATTCTCTGTCACAAGGAATGGAAAAACTTCAGCAAACTTTGGCTGAAGCTGTTGCATGTGCACGTGATTTAGGAGGAGATTGCTATGAAATGTCTAATCCAATGGAGAAATTAGAAGAATTGGTACGCCTTGTTATTCAGGTAATATATCTTTATTTTTTTTTTCTTTTATTGTCTACACATTTAGCTACAAGATTTAAATAATTCTATGTAGATCGTTTTCATTTATCAATGTGGTTATTCGTCTATTATTTCATTGATCCAACTGAAAATCATCAAGATATTTGTGTAACTGAATAAGAAACAAAATCCTTTTCGAATTTAGCAATATTAAATCAAAAAGTTTACTTCTTAAATTGCATGAAATAGCAATGTCTGTACTTCCATTGATTTTTAGTTTCATTTTTCAAAGTACAATATCCTAATAAGAAAAATTAATCAAAATTAAATTTTAACTACAATGCCTTAATAAGAAGAGGAACATAATCAAAAGTAGGATGCTATAAATTATAATATTATAATAAACAAATAAATAAAAGTAGGTTGCTATTTCTTGCAGGCAGACTTCGTTCGTCATGAAACCCTACAACAGACGCTTCGCTACCTAACCACCCGACAAGCGGCTCAAGGCTTAATCTCATTAGGTGAGTATTTTCAACGCCTTCGCAACTTGAGTTCAGCGTGGGCCAAGCGGTTATGTGAACCGGTCTGAACCCTATACCCTAAACCCTGGTGTCTGTCTGTGTATAAAGAAATAGCAGTATGTTGGAAGTTTTTCTTTTTTAAAAAAAAAAACAGCCTTCCACAATTGAGAAGTTTTATATTTTATTCTTCGTCGTGTTGAAAAAGTAGTTGTGTGTAACTAGTTTTTTTAGTCTTTTTTTGTTTGGTTGTATATAGTCATATATTGAAGATAATTTTTTTGTTAGAATTTGAGACGACTGGTTGTGGTATGGTTTTTATACGTTGTACAAAGTAGGATCGTATAGAAGTTGTGTGAAGTTACTAAAATGTTTTTTTATTATATGTTATAGCATCATACTTTCATTTTTTTTTCTATTGTTTTCCAATTAATTGGATTGTATATTCACCTTTGTCTTATTTTGGGTATTTTATGTTTAAAAATATATCTAATTATAGTAGTGAAAGTGGCTTTGTATTTGGATGAGATCGCAAATGGGTAGATTTTTTAAAGTATAATGGAGTAATAGGATGAAATGAAAGTAAGTTACTATAACAAAGAAATAGTTGAAAGTATGTTTGCTATTACGATCGCTGTCTTCGAAAATGAGAAGTCGTTTGAAATTATTAAAAAATGTTAAAATTCGATACGAAAGAACTATTTGTGTACATTCGCAAAATTTTCTTATACCTTATGTTCATTGTACTTTGAAAAATATATCTAATTATAACAGTTAAGTTGCTTTGTATTACTTTGTATTATGATATTACTATAATTATTGTGATAATATCACTATAAACAATGTTCCAAGTTGGGTTGACTATACATCATTTAAAGGTGTCTTTATTTGTCCTTTTGTAGATTTTTTTAATTGTAGCTTTCATATATGAAAACTACAAACTCTTCGTTTGTATTTTTTTATATTTTATTTTGTATTTTCTTATATTTTATTTTGTACTTGGATGTTAATGGTGAAATGACAAGGGTATTTAAAAGAAAAACACTTATATTGAAAAGAAAGTTGTCTTTTTCTCATATTTTGCATAATAATTTTATAAATTAATTTGTAACATAATTAATATATATATATATATATATATATATATATATATATATATATATATATATATATATATATATTCACAAATCAATATAACTTGTCAAATATAATTATATTTATGATGGTTGTGAAAATGGTGGAACGAATCAAAACCGAAAGAATAAAAATCGATTAAGGAGTAAAACAGGAACCGAGAACCAGACCGAACATCCCTAACTAGTTCTGGTTCGGTTCGGTTCCACTAGGGCATGCGCTATCTAAGAAGGTGTTAAAACTGAACCAACTGCAATCGGACCTTAAACAAAAGAACTAAAAGCCGAAAATGTTGAATTGGAGGAACCAGACTGAATACCATTAATCGGTTCGAACCGGTTCCGATTCCGGTTCTGGTTCGGTTCTTGTTTTGGTTCGTTTTTTCGGTTAAAAAAATCATCCCTAAATTGCGGTCATTTTGTAATAACCATCCATGGTTTGTTGTTATGAGTCTATTCACATACATTATTTCAATCGTTTTGGTCATATATAATACGGGTCTTCGAAACGAAAACTTCAGATTTTTCTTCTATTCACAAGAATTTTATCCTCCATTCACTTCATGAGAACAAGCATTGTCACTTAACTTATATATATATATATATATATATATATATATATATATATATATATATATATATATATATATATATATATAGGACCATTGAAATACTAGGACAGGGTTTGAAATAATTCCAATAGAATTGAACTATACATTCATTATTGTTTGTCAATATTTTTTTTGGTGAGAAGTATGAAAGTGTTGGATTAAGTGTCAAGTCATTAACGAATTGTAATAATTCTAATAATAGTGGGGTCATTTTGGGTTGCCCTCATGATCCAATTTAGCAATAAGGAATTACGAGGAAATCATGTTATTAATTATTATGAAATAATAAATTAATTGGAAGTTATTTTGGAATTAATTAATAGTTTTAATTAATTAAATAGGTTAAATATTAATTAAAATCATTAGTAATTAATAAGAATATTCCAGAACCTTCAAGAATATTAAAGGGGTCGATTTTATCTAAGTATAAAAGGATATGGTCTGATTCAAAGAATGATAAGGATTATCATTGGGAATTAGAATTTAACTATAAGTTATAAATATGATGCTAAGAGTCAAACCCTGACACTCTTTGCCTTTCTGATTTTTGTCCAGCTATGCCCTCTCTCTTTATATACAAAAATAATAACCCTCTTAGGGTTATTGTTATTTTCGATTAAAGCCTCCTCTCTCTTAAAGTTCTTTTATTGGTCCCAAAACAACATATTCAACAAGTAAATAAACAAGTAGAAAGAAGAATTGCAAGCAAGAATACTGAAACCAAAGTTATATTGATTCGAAGGTTTCAATAACAAAGAGATAATCAGAGAACAAACTCTGATTATGAGCATACTCATGATCGATAACCCCTTACACAAAAGGGTATTGACATATATATATATATATATATATATATATATATATATATATATATATATATATATATATATATATATAATAGAAGACCTAAAGTTCTATCTTAACATACAAGATAGATAAACATGGAAACACAATCACATATAAAATGGGGGTCTTCTATTACGGAAAGCTGATCTTTAAAACAATCCTTGACACATGAGGATGGTATCTTCAATCTTCAAGTACTGATCTGCTAAGCATCTTAATGAAGCTTCCTGATTTCATCAGGGGATGCAACCTCTGATGACAATTAGTAGTACTTACACTAATCATTGATACAAAACTTTTGACTTATCAAATCACCAGGGTGCTAACAATCTCCCCTTATTTGATAATGTCAGTACAAACTATACTAACTATACTAATTCTTTAAAAAGTATAGAAAAAATAGTATAAGGAATGCAAAAAATACAAACTTTATAAATAGACTTCATCAGCTATGTTCTCATACTTAGCAACATCAGTCATTAGCTCGGGCTTCACAAATTCAGAGTCCCTTAGAAGCTCCTTTCTTATGTTGCTTAGTTCAGCTGCTAACATGATGTGATAATGTTTAGCAACCTCTTTACCCTTAGTCAGCTAATAAAGATAGATAAGATGTTGTGTTGGAGCCATATGCACATCAACATGCCTTCGAAAGCACATCCTTCTATTCTTATCTTCATAAAATACCCCATAAATGGCTCTGTCCACAGTTTTATGTAACGTCCCATTTTCACAACCAAAAATTTTCTTTGTATTAAAGTAAAACTTTCCAATTATAAATCCATTATTAAAAAAACCTTTTATTCCAAAATACATTTATTGAAAATCAGAGTAATATTAAAGCGCATAATCTTCATTGTTGTTGATGAGTATGTAAAGGCATGCCTTTGCCTTCTCATGATAACTGAAGATACCTGAAACAATAAACAACCGGGTAAGCACAAAGCTTAGTGAGTTTCTCCCAAAATACCGCATACGATAAATATACAAGCATGCATAACGGCCCATAATCATCGGATTGGAATGCCTAGGCCCAATCAGTCATCAGAATGAAATGCCAACAAGCAACGAGTCCAATCAGTCATCTGTAACGTCTCAAAATTTAAGACTAAAAATTTCAATTTTTATAATAATAAAACCATCATCCAAAACGTTTTCATAAAACCATAACGAAATCAGAGTATGTTAAAATCATCGAGATACATCAAAGTCAAATAAAATGTGGAACAATATGGTGTGTGCGATGCGATCATCCTGAGCTCTTCTCCTTGAATCCGAAAGTACCTGAAACATAAACTGAAAAATGTAAGCACGAAGCTTAATGAGTTCCCCAAAATACCACATACCATACATATCTGGCAGCTCAAGGTTGTGTCGGGTCTATTTCACCCTCAATTCTATTTCAACTCATGTGTCAGCACAAGGCTGTACCGAGTCTATTTCACCCCCAGGTCTATTTCACCCCACATACATATAGCAAACAGGCACACATGCACATAACACGTACAACATGAGTCACAAAGACTACAAGCACATAACATATCCTAGTGTCCTACAGTATAGTGAGCAAGCTCACCTCAGTCTGCTGACAGTAAAACAAATGATTGGGCTGCTGAACTAGAAATCCCCACTAAATCACAAGTAAAGAAACCCAAATTAGAAATTAGGTCAATAATCTAGCCCGAGAGTCCAAACCCTAAATCCTAGCCTTAAGGGAAAAAGTTACCTATTCCTTGCCTTATTGGGCCTAGCCTATCAAGGCCCAAGTTCTAGTAGCCACGAAGCCTAAAAGATAATCTATGTCCAAAATGGGCCCAAGCCCCAAAGGCCCAATACAACAAAATCTTACGGCCCAACAAGGGCCCAAAGTCCCTAAGTCCCACACATGGCCTGTAACAAGCCTAAGACCCACTCTGATGAGTACACTCAGCGTACCAACTAGTGTAACGACCCAAAAATTAAGGGTAAAAATTTCATATTTATTATAGTCGAACCACAGACATCTTCTAAATCCAAGCATTCCAAAACATTGCTAATTAAAAACATTTATCAGAGTTCGTCCCAAAATCACATATTGCGGAAAACACAGGTGTGTGCTGCGATCAAGTCGGGCCCTTCCTTTCCAAACTGATGATACCTGAAACCATAAACAAAACTGTAAGCACGAAGCTTAGTTAGTTCCCCAGAGCATACCCCACACAATCCGCATAATCACATAAACCATATTAGCTATATCAGCTACATAAACCACATAAGCCATGCATACAAACATATAAGGATGTCGTGGACTCCCTCCTGGGTCTTACTCCAGGATGTCGTGGGCTCCCCCCCAGGGTCTTATACCTATATGCCATGGGCTCTTCCTATGGTCTTTACCTGGAATGCCATGGGCTCCCCCCGTGGTCTGATATCCAACTGCCATGGGCTCCCCCCGGGGTCTTCCATAAGTATCACAAAGACAACTAGCATATCACACATCATATAAACAACTAGTATACCACATATCACATAAACAATGCATATAAACATATAAGAATGCCGTGGACTCCCTCCAGGGTCTTTCTCCAGGATGCCATGGGCTCCCCCCATGATCTTGTATCCAACTGCCATAGGCTCCCCTCGGGGTCTTCACGTATCTAATCAATAAAGTACTACCATATTCACATATACATGCATACCATACATATCAGTAGTAAACCCACAATAACACTACAACTAAATGAATGGGCCGACCTTAGTTCCTTCAACCCATTGGTATGGTGAGGAGACTCACCTCACATTGCTGAAGTCCCGCGAATA